GACACTATTCATTGCATCAATATTATCTAAGTCAGCCGATCGCTTATAATATTCAAATGATTTTTGGTAATTTCTTTTTCTTTCTACTCCAACTTCATAATAATAACACATACCAACAGCAAACATCGCAACCGGATTTCCTAACTCAGCTGATTTCATATAATATTCAAAAGCCTTCTTTTCGTCTTTCTTAACACCAATACCATAATAATAATTGAAACCAAGTTCATAAAGTTGTTCAGAGTTCATTTTTTTTTAGGGAATAAAAAATCGTGCACCAAATAAGATACAAACTTTAATTTGTCCGGAGCGTAACGGAGGACATTTGTTTAAGTAAGGTGATACAAAAATTACTTCAGGTTGACGAGCGTAGTCAACAGATCGAAAAGAAAGTTAAGCAGAGAAACACGAGTGATGACAATCACAAAGGATCCAGGATGTCGGTGGGTGTAAACTAGTTCAATCACCATCCTATTCGAGGAAGGCGCAGGGAAGAGATAAGTGATCAATCAGTTGCCTGATTAGGGCATTTCACATGTAGATTAATACAACAAAGATTTATCGTACGTAGGTATAAATGCACAGACGTTAGGGCGGGTTGTGGCGGGCCCAGAAAGGAAGCAATTCGCAAGATGAGCAAGAAGGGCACACAAAACTCAGGAATTACGAGAAACGAAAATTCAGTTTCTAACGAATCCTCAGAAACCATAGCTACATCTACAAGCCCAAACCAAGACGTCCAGGATTTGTATGGAGGTATAGATAATCAAACGAGAGCTTACGTAGACACAGTGATCCAATCAACAGCAGCAGCATTAATGCAGAACATGCAGCAGCTAATGGACCAACAAATCTAGACAATTAGCCAAAGGTTTGAACGACTTGAACAAATAATGGCAACAACAGCAGCAACCAGGGCAATGACAATGGTCCATCTACGGTGGAAAGAAATCAGCTTGACACCGTTAAAACCAATTGAGATACGAGTACTTCACAAGGTAATTACCCCCATCCCCAGTTATCAATAATTTGATTATCAAAGCGAGTCTTGAGGAAGTAGGTGAGGATAGAGTTAGGACATATAAATTAACGGCCAGAAAGTATCCAACCATAAACTATGATGATGTTAAAGAGATTCCTACAGTCCAAGGTTTTCAAAATCCAAAAGCTGCTGAGACAGAGCGAATCTGGTTATGGTGAGTCATGAATTGGATGGAGGGGCAGAGGCTGCTAGAAATGCTTCCACAGAAGCCCAGTTTGAGTAACAAATTATGGAAAACTGTCGCATTTGGTGCTTTTGTAAAACTTCAAGAATGCGTGCAAAAAAATTTAATCGACAGTGTGAAAGATATGGACAACGACACAACGCTAGAAATGGCAGATGGAGGTGCTATATATATAAGAAAAAGGAAATGCAGCGCAGTTTTTGAGAACATATCAGAATGGCTTATGGTATTCAAGGCATACGTTGATGCAATGTTAGTAGTATATGGAAACCGTGAACAAGAGCTAAACTTGTACTGAGATCACATAAATGAACTATATGTTAGGTATGAATTTGCTGCAGTCATGAGGTATGACGAAGAACAAAGAGTAGCGTTAGTAATAGATCGCGACTCAACTCTAATTGAAAGGAATATTGAAGTAGAGGGTAAGAGTTTCGATGCGACAACTGTGAGAAAACCCAAAGAAGGGTGGCTCTGTACTATATGGACGAATAGGCAATAGATCGACAGAAAGGAAATTTGCATCAATTGGAACCGTCGATCATGCCTGAAGAGAGAAACTGTGGTAGAATTCACGCGTGCATTATTTGCAAAAAATTCGGTTACAATGAGAAAAATTGCTTCCGAAAGCATCCTGAAAAGCGGGAATAAAAAAAAAAAAAAAAAAAAGATAATAATAAAAATAAATAATAATAATAAATAAACAAATGTTAAAGGAATTGAAAAAAAAAAAATAGAGGATGGGTATATTCTGGGGTAATAAGCGGTCGAAGATGAACACGTGATAATAGATCACACAGACATAGCAAACGATAGTAATATCAAACAAATAAACGAATATATTAGAGCATTACTAACAGAGCAATCATTTTTCTTTTATGTGAAATATGAATATATAATATGAATAAATAAATTTTTTTTTTTTTAATATTTAAGGTGAGACCTTGCTCTTATCTTTATTAAACTTAATGAAAACTTTTTACATAATTG